TGTTCATACTAATTTCAGATAAACAGGAATTAATTCATGCTAGTAACAGCTCTGAAAGAATAGCTATAAGTTCATGTAACCTGAAACCTAATTCTGCAAATATGTCAGTCTTGGTCACTCCTTCAAGAGGCAGCGCTGCCAGTATGTCCTCCTGCTTGTCAATATTTGTATTATATAATATATTCTGTATATTATTTATTGAATTAAAATTTATGTACATTTTGATAAATTCAGATTTCAGATTATTCTTCTGTTTTATCAGATCAGTTCTCTTACAAATCTTTGGTCCAAGCTCCAGGTTTTAACTAAAATTTTTGAGTTTCATTTTTCTTGTCTCTAAAATGAGAAGTTTGATCTATCCAATAATTACAAAACTTCCTTGTTTCCAAAATATTATATCATGGGCTATATATAGTAGATGTGTCTGTTAGACTGACTTTATTATAAATTATACTTGTCCAAAAGAGAAACTTAAGCTTATAGAGGTTATATTACTAGCCAAGGTCATATAACTAATATATTGAAAACCATGGTCAAATCAGGAAATGTTCATGTGTACTCATATCTTGGAAAAATGTGAGTTGTATTGTGGTCTGCTGTTTTTCATCAACATGATGAATATAAATAGAACACATTATTTTATCTACTTTGGAAATTTTGTGAGTGAAAGGCTGCTACTTACAGTTTATTCCCAAGATCCAAGTATATTGAGTGAAGACATTGACACCTTTTTCTTGTTTGATCTCCTTGAACCATATGTTTAATTGTACTTTTAATTATCTGGTAGGAACTGGATAAATCTAGTTCACTCTTTCAGAGACAAAGAGGAAGTTATTGTATAGAAGAATGACTTGCTGCAATTAGAAAACTGGTTTTTAATGCAATTAAAATAACACCCGAAACATGTCTTTGCAGATTCTCCCTGCTAAAGCTCATCTTGGAAAGTAATTACTTGTCTTCAAATGAAAGAGCCTACTTAGAAAAAAAATACCCTCTAGGTCAGGAATCACATGTAAATACTTGTTTAAATGATGTTACAAATAGGCTTATTTCTCCAGTGTCATATAACTCTCTTTGAGGTTACTTTTAATGAATATTAGATCGAAATTGGTGAACAAGTTTATATTAAGCTAGTAAATTTCAAGGTTGTGGTAGGTTGCTAACCTTTGGTTTCTGCCTTAGAAGTGTGGATATCAGAAGTGTGGCCACTTAGTTGATGCTTTATCTGCAGTTGACTGGGCAAAATTCTGTAGTCCATATTCTTTGTGTGCTCAAAAGGCAAATGTCCATACCTGATAGAAATATCATTTTAAAAACCTTCCCATAGTGTCTGCATATTATATGAATGTTGAAACTGAGAAACTTCTGGAGGAGGTGGCCTCTGATTTGGTTGAAGAGACCTTAGTAGGGACTAGAGACTCAGCCACGACTGTTCACGCTGGGTTTGTATTATGGAAAAAACTTCAGCGTTAAATAGATTGATTTAATGCCAGCCACAGTCAACGTACTGAGCTGGTGAAAAGCAGTATTTTGATCCAAGCGATGTGAAAGCTTTTTAAGGAGTTTAATGTAGTTGCTGTTTTCTGTTAGGGTGCCAAGTTCCATTTTAAACCGAGAGAAAAGGGGAGAAGGCGGGGCCTTTCTGTGGATTAGTAACGCATGAAAGGAGTACTGACATGCTTTCTCATCCACATGGAAAACTTACCCATTCCCAATAATAAGGTTATAGAGAATTCTGTGATTAAAAATTTCAAACTTTTACCCGAAGCAGAGATATATAGGAAACAGGAAAATCCAACTATCGCTAGTAATTTCCCTTGAAACAAATATTTATAATAAATAAGGTTTTTTTTCTGACCTGAGGAAATGTACTTTAAGATGTTCCCATTGTAAATTTCCATTACATTCCAGAGAAAAGTTTAGCTTTTCCAGATTTAGGAAATTGCTGGCTTTGACATGATGGCATAGCTTACACATGATGGTCTTAAAATAAGGTAGGCATTTACAATGTGTTGTTTTGCAAGAGCCCATGGATTTGGCACTTCTCCTTTATTCCTTTATATGCAGGCAAGAAAGCCAAGCTTCAGTGCTGCATCTTTTTCTATCTTGGCTCCAAGCTCTAGAAATCATCACTCAAACCACACCCAGATTGCTTGTTTAGTCATGCGGAGAAGAACTTAAAGGGAAGGAAAATGTTGGTTCCCATATCATGTTCAAATAGCAGAGTGCGATTCCAGATTCCCACTGCAACTTGTTATGTTACTCTGAACTTCACTCATCCCAGGTCAGGTTGGGGCATGTCTTTTAAAGCTTGAATGTGGAGTCCCGGCCTTTCCGTCCAAATAACAATACAGATTGACTCTTGTTTCTCCATTGGCAGTCATGCCCAGGTAAAACAGGTAGGGTGGGTATTACTATTTACATGAAGACTCATTGAAGAAATGTATCCAGCTGTAGAAAGACATAATGATTTCAGTGTTCTCCAAGTGCCCACATTTAAGTAACACATTATTGAGCTTACAGAAATCAGTTTAATTGTTAACTATCAGGTTGGTCTTGCTCAACTATTCTTGTGCTTATAAAACACACACTCTGATATTTGAATTTTTTAAGAGCTAGAAGAAAAAAGAGACCTCTTTTCCCTATCTCATTTTGCTTCATAATAGTGACAAGAGTAATGGTAGTTTTTCCAGTGCTAACACCCAACTTATAAAGATATCAGGATGAAAAACAAGGCCTTGTAAAATGAGGACGTTAGAAAGGGAGGAGTGTGACTTAGTAAGTGAGCTTAGAGTAAACATCCCTGTGCGGCCATGTTCACTGAAGCACTACTTGTAGGAGGCAGGTGATGGACTCAATCTACGTAGGTTTCCTTGCTGGAGAGGGTAGAGGCTGGTCAGTACGGGAGAGGGGGGGAAAGAAGGACAAAGGGCACCAAGGATGATCATGCCTGAACAAACCATATTATTTTACATTTGCCTAAAATAATACTAAGTATGTATGTATAGATAGTTGCATTCGTTCATGCATGAAGTTACATCCCCTGGGATAAGAGTCAAAGTCTATCAAAAAATGTCCCCAGTACCAGTTACGAAAAACATTCCTTTGAGTTGTTGGCCAGTGCAAGTGACTCTCAATACAAAATAGGCTATTTCTGTTGCTCTTGGTTGCCTCTCAGAAGTTGAAGGTAAGTCTTTCTTGCTGAAGACGTTGGAAATGTCAGGTACAGGACTCAGGAGACTAGAGATGGATCTAACCTGAAAGCTTTCTCTGCGCCCTAGCTTTCATAGTATCGGAAAGTACTATGTAAACCGCCAAGTTAGGGAAGCCATCAATAGTCCTATCCAGCTGTGATGCTAAGGAGACACAACAAGGATCGGCATGACAAGGTATTCTTAAATGGGAAATAGAGGCAATCATATTTTCCTGGCAACCAGCAGCTGTCTAATTGGGCTTACAACCCACTCAATAGGAAGTCACACCTGGTGCTAGAATCTTACCCAACTACCTGGGGCTAGTAAGGTCGTGGGTCTTAGAGAAGAACCTACCATGCCACTTTGCAAGACTGGCATAGTTCCTGACTACATTCTAAAACTTACTTTTATAATCACAGATAAGTGTGGCTCTCACTGTTCAACAAATAAACGTCTCTTTACAGCAAGCGGAGACACTGCAGAAGATCACAGCTCATTATAATGAAGAGATCCAACAGATGTATTTACAACGCAATGGCAGTACCTAAGGTTCAGGAAACGTCACGGAGGAGGAGAAGGAAAGGTTGCAGTAGCCAAAGAATCAGGAAGTCTGTTGTGAGATTGTACTTCCTAGGAAGGAGAGGGAAGATACAGCTGTCTAAACAAGACCTGAACAATAACATTATCCATAGACAAGCTATACAGGAGGAGGAAATTTCACTTGGTTCCAAACCTAGACAAAAAACTACAGGCAACTAATGATTGCTGAGAGAGGGAAAATTAGCCTCTTTGGGGCAAGGCCCAGTTAATAACACTAGGTGGTCAGCCCTGAGATCATATTCACTAAAACCTAATGGACAAAATGAACTCTACTGGTTGTATTTATATTTTTATGCATTTATGTATATATGTATACATAAATAATAAAATAATATTAATAATAAAAGTAACTCCTCAATTTGAAAGGGAAGAAGTTGGAGGGAGGGGACACAGGAAGGATTGGTAAGTGGATAGAATGGGGAAAATGATATAATTATATTTTAATTAAAATTTTAAATAATAGAAACATGAATAAATGAAAATACGCTATATAAACACAGTGTAATTTGGGTTCAAAATTAAGAATGAAATTATGTTGTTTGTGGAAAAATGGATGTTCCTGGAGATCATCATGTCAATCAAACCAAACCAGACTAAGAACAATGGATGTTGTGTGTTTTCTCTTATGTGTAGAATTTAGGAAAAGATGCTCGAGAGTGAAACAGGGATTCTTAGGAATGTTGGTAGAGGTAGTGTGGAGCATATTACAAAGTGTGGTCGATGCTAGACATGATCAAAGTATGCCGTATACACGTGTGAACATAGCACCAGGAAACTTGTTACTTCATGCAATTGATATGCACCAATTAAGTAAAGAAAATTCCAGTCTCTGAAGTGTCCTTTCACCTTATTACTTGCTCTGCTCAGTGACATTCAGTAGCGTGGCCTTTTGAACTTCTGTTTCTTCACATGAAATATTAAATTAATACATTCACCTTACCATGTTATTATTGGAAGCCAGATAACATAGGTTGAGAAATTGATATATTTCAGGACCCAGAACAAACATTACTTTTTACTTAATTTCACATCTGATGAAGCAGATACAAACAGGTCCTGTGAGATGTATCTCTATCCAGTTGGAGAAGGAAGAGAGAGGAGAGAAAATTATGGTCCTGAGGTCATGGCCCTAGATCAGGAAATCGTTGAGGTAGATCTCAACACCAAAGAAATGTTAAAGTTACTTTGGCAATCTCTCCAACTTACGGGTCACTCAGCCTACAGTTGGGATAAATTTCAAAACACCACATGGAGCCATTTGAATTTGTTCTGTAATGTTTTCAATAAACCTGAATAAAAAGAAACAAAAAGAAAAAGAAATTTTTGTTATGCATAGTCAAAATGTTATGAAATAACTTTTATTAATACATGTGCATTTATGATTATTTGGTCATATAAAAGATTTTCAATTTTTAATTGTGACTCAATCCTTAGAAAACTATAAAGGCTCCTATAGGCTGAGAATAGAATATGTTTATCCAAAAGCTGCCTCGGGGCATCAAGCTAGCTGCTTCTTTATTTATTAAGTATGTATACTCTTCAAGTATTCAACTCAACCAGAAGTTTGTTTTATTTATTTATTTTTGTCTGGTTTTTTTTTTTTGAGACAAGGTTTTCTCTTTAAGCTTTTGGAGCCTGTCCTGGATCGAGCTCTTGTAGACCAGGCTGGCCTCTAATTCACAGAGATCTGCCTGCCTCTGCCTCCTGAATGCTGGCTTTAAAGGCATGTGTCAACACCACTGAACTTTTTAACCAGAATTTAAATTCTCCTTTGTGAAAGAACTTCACCTAACTTGAAAGAAATACAATGTTGTTACTGCTTGCATTTCATCTTCTATGTCCTTAACTGTCTCCATTTCAATTGTGTCCCATAGAAAACTGGAGATCCTAAGGCTCAAGGTTCTAAAAGATGCAGGCAGCTTGCAGCAAGAGCTGTGAAGACATGCTCAGCTCATACTAATTTGCCAGTGAATGCCAGCATCACCTTTTCATAGCCAGTGATTTAAATTATATGCAATATTTCACAGATATCATGCAAAGAAGAAAACATATAATAAAAGATATGAAGCCTGAAACTCAAGAATGTCACTTGTGCCTGTGAATCTGCAGTTGATATGGGAGGTCTGGGTGAGAGGGTTGAGACCAGGTTGAGCCAGGATGCCCCCCATATGGTGGAGTCAAGGCCAGCTTGGGCAGCCTAGAATATACAGCAAAAAGCAGTCTTAACAAAGCAAAACAACATACAGTATCAAGGTCTTATAGTCTAAAACTGTTAGGGATTTGGAATGTTTGGTGCTTAAGACTCACAGAGACTTTCAAGTAAAGAGGGTCTCTGTTTAAGATTTTGCCATCTCGTTTAAGTCTAATTAGCTGTCTATGTCAGTGCAAACAAAAAGGATACACGATCCTACGAATGGAGTATTTGATGTTATTCTTCTGACAAGCACAAAGTAGAAACACGGTGTGGAAACTAAAGGACACCAGGCGAGAATGCAAGTGTAATTAATTTTACAATCGATTTTACTACATCAACTTACAGTGTATTTTGTCATCGTTAGCCATCATTCAATGTTCGTAGAAGAGAAATAAATTTCAATGGAAGAATTTTACCATCCACCATCCACCCCCACTGCCTTGTGTTCTTTGCTGTGTGCAGTCTGGATATGTGAAGACTGGGAGAGGCTGTGACACCTAGACACCCAGAGACGGTCCTTTTAAATAGTTTGTCAGTCTTAGCTAATTGAAATTTCTAGAGAAGTGGATTTCAGTACCAACTACAAAAGCAAATAGACAGACAACTGTTCATTGCTCAGTCATGAAGTCTGTTAAACAATTGTCCTATTGTGTTGTCAACTGAAGCTGGTAAACTGCCCAGGCAGGTGAGTCTAAGAAACCACATTCAATCCATCCAAAGCTCCTGACTGGACTGATTAAGTAGTGGGAAAAGCAGAGCAGTAAAAAAAAAAAGGGGGGGGGGTTGCTGAGAAAAATGTGCTAATTGAGAGAATAGCAGGAGAAAGTTTAGTTCCCTTAGCTGAAAAAAATCATTCCGTCTGTGCTCCTACAGTCATGTCAGATAAAGCTTGGAAGTTCACCAGAAAAACAGGGAGGGAGACTTCAAAGCGAAGGGAAGGGACAGAGGTGTGGCTCAGTGGGAGAGCATTTTTCCTGGCCTCTGTGAGGGGTCCTGGAAATCAATCCAAGGACAGAAGAGAAAGAGAGAGAGAGAGAGAGAGAGAGAGAGAGAGAGAGAGAGAGAGAGAGAGAGAGAGAGAAGGAAGGGAGAGAAGGGAGGGAGCGAAAGAAGAGGACAGAGAGAGGTTATTTGGAAACTGAGGTTGAGAGAATGGTGTAGAGAGAGAAGTGTGAGCAGATGCTATAAGTAATAAATAGGTGATAATGTTGTTTGTTTAAATGGTCTTGGGGAAAGCAATTATATGGTTATTCTAGAACATGGAAACCTAAATGAATAAATACCTTTTGAGTGATATTTAAGTGACGTTGAAAAACAATTACAATTGCATACCTTTTGTACTTTCAAAAATCAACTATAGCATGGGGAACCACTCAAGCCACCAGCTATGAATTTCCAATAGTGCCATCTAGTGTTAGAATTCTTTGACTGCACCTTTGTATGGCATGCACGCACTGAAAGCATGCCCTTGAGAAGGGCCCATGAGCCCGTGAGCTTGTAAAACAGTGGGGACTGGGGTGATTGTGAGTACATTCAACAGCTGTGCAGAAATGCTTCTGCCTTGCATTGCACAGGACTTTCTTTACCTATTTTCTGGTTACTTGCAATTTCAAACAATTCTCATTTAATGCAATGGACTACAATTAAGTTATCTGAGGAATAAAAATTGGGTTTGGAATTAGCATACTCTAAGTCTCCAGCTAATAGGTATTAGCTGAATGTTTGTTCTCTATCTGTTCTCAAAACTGTGAATATGATCTGAAATCTATGTGTCAGTGGGCTTTTGTGCCTTATAATAGGAAAAACCAGAACAATTTAGATAGGAAGTTTAGTGTCAATACAGAAAAATTAAAGAAATAGTCAAGATGAATAAAATGTCTCAGCTAAGAAGATAATTATCATCTTTAGTCTTTTATTAATAATTTAGAAAGAACAACATATTACTTATTGCAAAATATAAATAATCTCAAATTAAGAGCTAGGAATTAAAAACAGTATATGAAGTAATATAATATTTTTCCTGTTTCTTAGTGAAATATTATGGTTAGAAACTAATAACTTTATTTGCTGGGTCTATAGGATTGGAAAATTCCCTGTTAATTTCTGGGAAGTAACTTATATTACAATATACAAGACCATATGCGGTTGTTTTGTTGCTTTTGTTTGTTTTGAAACAAGGTTTTGCAGTGTAACCCTGGCTGACCAGGAACTTTCTATGTAGTCCAAATTGGTCTTGAACTCCTAGAGGTCTGCTTGGTTCTGTCTCCTGAGTGCTGGGACTAAAGATTTGCACCACCAGGTGGTGTGGGAGAATTGTCTGTATTCTGTCAATCATGTTTTAAATAAATGCTGATTGGCCAGGCAGGAGGTGTAGGCAGGAAAACCAGACAGGAAGTGGAAATGATGCAAGGAGAGCAGGAGAATTCTGGGGAGGCAGAAGTTGATTTCTCCCACTCCTTCCCAGATCACTGAAGCAGCAGGATGTGATCTGCACCACTGAAAAAGGTACTGAGCCACATGGCTAACATAGATCAGAATAATGGGTTAATATAAGCTACAAGAGCTAATAAGTAGCCTGACCTAATGAGTCAATAGGCCTTATAACTTATAGAGACCTCTGTGTGATTTTTGGGGGTGCTTGCCAGCTGTGGGGTCCCAGGCAGGACAGAAATTCCCAACAAACAAGACCCCTCATGTTACATCCAGGCCTGGCACATATGTGAATATGTTTCTTTATTAGGCACAAGCTTCCCATTGTTTTCTTACATTTTTTTTTCCTCATTAATAGAGACAACTTTTTCCTAGGACTAAAATGCTAGCACGTTTTATATTGTTCTAGGTCAAATACTAGATTTAGGAATAGAGAAAATGACGCAGGTGGAGGGGAGGAGAAACAGCTTCTCCAGTGCTTCAGAAAGAGCAGAGGAGTAGAACCCTTCAGTGGCTGCCTAGAAGCTGGAGGCAGTTACAGCTGCAAATTCAAAGACAGACAGTGACAAGTACAGAATCTCTCTCTCTCTCTCTCTCTCTCTCTCTCTCTCTCTCTCTCTCTCTCTCTGTGTGTGTGTGTGTGTGTGTGTGTGTGTGTGTGTGTGTGTGTGTATGTATGTGTTGTAACCATGACAATGTAGGAAAGTTGAGAATAGAAAGCCACATTTTATCATGAGCATTGAGGGCAGCAAGTGAAAGAAGCCAAGTCTCGGAGAGAGACGAGTGGAGATGTGCCCACAGAAGACAGACAAAGCAAAGGCTCCAGTCAGGTGAAGTTAGGGTCAGCAGCACAGGGGAGAGGAAAGCATTGGCAAAGTCATGGATGTTTTTTCAGTGAGTCTTAGAGGAAGAAGAGTATGCTCTTTGGACTATTCTGTAAAGGGACCTCACAAATGAGATATCTGTGAATAGAGACACCTTACTGTTTACCTCTAGAGGATCAGCAGGCTTAGGAACAGTTGGGTTCAATTGAGTCACACTAATTGAATTTCTTTTCAATTATCACAATTATAAAATTAATAAACTTAGTGATTATTAACTTATGATTTTATAAGGCACGTTCATTTCTTAGGCATAACTGTTGGGATCTGTATCTATAAAGGTTATTTTCAATCAAATATGTCTTTCTCAGAAATCTATAAGTTGCTGATTTTCTGGCACTAGGTAGGCTGTGTGAAGTGGATAGGAGTTACAAATATTTGAAATGAAAGGAACAAGATTTAACTGGGTCCATTTTTCTAATAATAATGATGTTGACTAAAAATGATGGATTCCTACAACTCAAATATCAGCAATAAAAATATAAACTAGACAAGACTAGGGGTATAGGGCGACAATGGCCTAGTTGTCTAAGAAACTGATTGCATCTCTGCTCTGAATTGCCTGCAATTTGAAAGCCTAATTCTAGCTGTTTGCCAAGCACTAGCAGCGATGGGCAAATTTATTATAACCTTCCCAGCAGATCAGGATTCAAGTGAACTGTCTGCCCCATTGGAAAAGGCAGGGAAAGTACCTCTTGTTTCCATGAAGGTGTCTTCCAACATAAGCCGCAGCCACACACTCAGCTAGGAGACCTTGTTTTGCTTGAGTAAACATATTTCACTGCAGACTTCTCTCCTCAGTGTTGGCTGAGTAGCCTATTAAAAGCGTTACTGAAAGAAGGATGAAAAGGATTGCTCAGGTAAGCTTTTCCCAAGAGCAAAGTCTTTCCACTCTCATTTCACCCAACTTCACATTTCATTTAATAGCAGAAATAGCCATAAAATCTAATTAAATTTTTTTTAACGGAGGGGTAAAAAAATAGTTATGTTTCCTATTTTATGTACTAATTGAAGAAAATAAATAAATAAAACGCAAAATATGGAATGTGCCTGAAAATACTTTTCAGATAGTCTGGCATTTATATAATAAAGATCAAGAGAAGGCCAACTTAGGTAGGAATGCTCAGAATGCAACACTGCAGAAGGAGCACAAAGGTCAGATGTTTTAGGATGGTTTTATGCAACTCGGTTTCTTTAACAAAGAACTGTGGCAGTTAATATCTCTCATATGTAAATCCAAGCTTTGAGTCTTTAGTTTTATGTGTTCAATGTGGAGCACTTACATATACCAGAAAGTAGAAATGGACTCTAAAGGGGAATGCCACAGAAGAGGGAGAATAGCTGAATATAGGTAAAATAAAATCAATCTTCAAGACAAATTTGCCTCTCGGTGCAATAGTGGAAGGTCTGTTAGGAGGGTAACCAACTGCTTTCTCATTGGATTTGAAGTCTGTTTTACAAGAGAGAATCCATGCTTGGACATTATAAACCAGTCAAAAACACATGGCTGGAGAAGTCATAGGTCCTTGGGGAGGTGTAATTTCGTTGCACTGTTTAGCTAAATTAACATGCTGTTAAATGCCTTATAAATATCTGTAACTATACTCATTGACAGATGTTACCATAATCCTTAATCAGAGAATACTCTCTTTGAATAGCATGAAGGTGAAGTTACAAGACTTATGACTGTTGAAGGTGCTGGGAATAAGTGATGGTTGAGGCCAGTGTTCAGACGATCTAAATACATATGCATATATGTATTTAAATAGCTCTACGTATAGCTAAAATGGGCATAATGTGTCACAGAAACTCAAAATTGCATAATATAACTTGAAAATAATTTATTTTCAAATGACAAACTTTTTAGATGCGAAAACAGTTGTAACTGTCTCCAAAAACTACAGAATCATTTTTATTAGACTTGTGTAAATTCAGCCAATTTTTTAATGAAAGTTTTATTTCTGATCAGAACAAAGGTACAGAGTGTGACCACTGACTTGGGCATCACTTTGGACTGTGGTTGGTCATTAAGTTGTTTGTGTCTATCCTTACCCTTTTTTTTAAAGATGCATTTATTTATTTATTTATTTATTTATTTATGTGCATGTGTCTGTAAGTACATTTGTACACATTGCTGTGTGTGTGTGCAGAGACCAGAAAGAGTTGGATGTCTTCATCTGTAGCTCCCTGGTTTTCATTGAGATAGGTTCTCTTCTTTAAGCTGAGGCTTGTGACTTTCTTGAAGCAGGGGTTACAGCACAAACAGTGTACCTGCCTTTGGGTGTGGGTGTTAGGATCTGAACTCCAGTTCTAGTGATTACAAGACAAATGCTCTTTAACATGAAGGCATCTCTCCAGTTCTTTTCCTTTTTCAATCTATCTATCTATCTATCTATCTATCTATCTATCTATCTATCCATCCATCCAAATCTATCTTTAACAAAATACAGGCACTGCATTATCCCACCATTGGGTAACTGATTGATATAAGAAAGATTATCTGGTAGAAATATCTGACTGCAATTAGTTTTTTAAGTCTGTTCTTAACTACAAAATTATATTGTCTGAATAATAGCCACTGTTATGCTTTGGAATCACTCAAAGAATATATTCTTCTAAAAATGTGATTTTCAGGTTTCTATTTCTGAACTGATGAAATTAATTTCTGTAACAGGAGAAAGTTTCATGACCCTGTTGGGTAGTCATCAATTTCTACTTTCACATGACCAAATGACTCCAGTTTTAAAAACATTCTGTTATTAAACTTGGACTATGTCTTTTAAGTTTTTCTAGACTGTTTAACTAGCAATATTATGTTCTTCATGTTTTTTTCTAACATTAAATGACCACATGTGGACTATATAATGGTCATAGGATTTCTATTCCTGTGATAAAATACCATGACTGAAAGAAAAGCAGTTTGGTGAAGACAGAGTTTATCTCAGCTTTACAACCCTTAGCTGACTCTCTGTCAGTCACTAAAGGAAGTCAGGATTGGAACTCAAGGCAAAATCATGGAGGAGAACCCATGGAGGAGCACAGCTTATTGACTTGCTTCTCATGGATTGCTCCTTATAGCTTGCTCTGTTTTCTTACAGCATTAAGTACCACCATTGAAGGGTAGGCAGGGCCTACTGTGATCAGGACCCTCCCACATTAAGTATCAATCAAGAAAATGTGCCACAAGCCTGCCCACATGCCATTCTGGTGGGGACATTTTTTCAACTGGTGTTCCTTCTTTCCAAATGACTCCAGCTTTTCTTAAGTTGACATAAAACTAGCTAGCACAAATGGACTGTCCTTAATTTAGTTAGAAATGGTAGAGACTCCAGAATGTCATTCTGAAATTAATTATTGGAGCTGTAGAGTATAAAGAAGGGAATGTTTTTTCTAATGAATGAATTGATAAGAAAATATTGCAATAAACTAAAGATGAGGAATTACAAACGGGAAAATGGAAAATATTATATCATGAAGAACTATTCAAGGAGAGAGTAATGACGGTAAATGATTGGTAGAATAACATCAAGGAGCATGAATCTGAGAAAAAATGCACTGATTTTGTGGGAGTGTGGGAAAGGGTATGATTATGAAGAAAGCAACTTCATTTCCTGGAAATTTTTTGCTATCAGTTATTTTCTGAATCAGAAAATGGTCCAGAGTTCACATTGAATGAAATTTTGGATCAATGGCTGTTCTGAGTATCTATCAAGTACAGAAACCACTGTCTCTATTTGTCATGTTTATTAAAGGATAAATGCAGGGATCATGACCAAATACTTAAGGTGCTGTCACTTTCTACTGAGCACAACACAGACTAGATTAATTTGGTCAATAAATATTTATTGAGCACCCTGCTATATGACAGGTTTCAGAAACAGAGCAAAGAAAAAGAAGGAGAGCCATAGTGGTTTCAGCCGGAGAAGGACTGTTGCGATAATACTGTCCATGGAAGGCTTCTCAATTTTTAATGTGCAGACAAATGCCTGAGGACCTCGTATAAATGCAAATCCCAATTTTGTTATTTTTCAGGGCAAGGCCAAGGATGTTACCTTCCCAATAAACTCCTGAATGGTTTGTTGCTGCTAGAAGGCAGAGCACACTTTGAATAGCAAGGGCAAGAGCGATGAGAGAGAACTCTCAGTGTTGTGACGCCTGAATGAATTTTCCATAATCTGTTCCCACTGCCAGAGGCTCTGATTCAGAAACATGAATGATTTGAAATTCACTTGGGCCTAGAAATACTAAGCTTACCATCTCTCTACAGAGGGGAATAGAAAAAAAAAATGGAGACCTTATGTAAGAGTCAAGTATATTTACAATTGGTAGGCTTCCTGAGGGGATCCAAATAATAACCATACCCTTTACTCTCAATTTCTGAGTGAAAGGTGAAATGTAAACGATGACTAAGTTGAACAGTGTGTCTTACCCAGTTAGATCTTCCCAGAACTAGGTGGACTGATGAAGCAAGTCTAAGGAACACATAATGCTGCCCCCCCCCCGCCATGTCCTCACACAGGAATAATGTTCTTGCCCTTAGAGAACACACAGTGATGCTTGTTCACCCAACTCTCACAAGAAAGACAGGCAGAAATAAACTAAGAATTCTTATTTTTATTTGAAAACCAACCAGTGAGTGTCTATCACTGGTGGGTTGAAATGAACAGGTGAAAGGAAACCAGAAGAATTATTTCTCCAAGAAAGATGCCATCAAAATGAAGAAGACAGATTTTCAACAGCATCAGGCTTAGCAGTCTTTTTCTCATTGAACTGACAACCACCTTGAAATGAGTTGGGCCAGGCACTGAAAATTCTGGAACAATTATAAGTTGGGTGAGATTTTTTGCTTTTCTTTTTTTCCCTTTTATTTTTGTACTAGCTATAATTTAGAGGAATGCTTGAGTAATATACCATTCAAGTTACCTTGAGGCATTAGAATAGAGAATCCATTTCTACAGATTTAAGTAAGGCCTTTACCATCTCCATGATGCTTCTCAGAGAGGCCAGAAGCACATAACACACCTGGAAGACAATCCTTTATTTCAACACGCAAGTCTCCTTCAGTCTAAGACATGAGAAGGCAAACTTTCAGTCTGTTGATCTTACCTTCTGCTTGCTACAGGGTTCTTTTGCAAAATTATGCTTTAATATTGTCATCCTTACACAATATATGGAAACTAAGCCTTGCTACTACTGACAAAGTAAATCTTAATTAGCCAAATACCATCCCTTTGTTGTAGTACCGTGATGACTAGTTTTATGTCAACTTGGCAGAAGCTAGAGTCATCTGAGGGGAGGGAACCTCAACAGAGAAAATGCTTCCAAAAGATTAGGCTAAGGGCAGGCCTGTAGGGTATATTCTTAATTAGTGATTGATGTTGGAGGGCACCACTCTCTGTGGGTGATACCATTCCTGGGCTGGAGGTCTTTCCTTGGTTCTATAAGAAAGCAGGCTAAGCAAGCCATGTGGAGCAAGCTCCTAAGCAGCCATATTCTATGTCATCTGCAACAGCTTCTGCCCATTTTGAGTTCCTGCCTTGGCTTCTTTCAGCAAACTCTGATTTAGGATACACATGACAACTAAAAACTTTCATCTCCAAGTTGCTTTTGGTCATTGCGGTCTGTCACATCAATAAACCTAATTAAGAGAAATACCAACTAACAAACTGAGAGTCACAAGAGGAAATTTACTAGCCCAGGCACATATGCAGTTGATTTCTAACTCAGGAATAGAATCATATGTTAGTTTCCTAGCGTTTCTCGCTTTCTGCTTCAGCTGTATTGGCAGACTGGCTGTAAGTTGTTTGAACATGTTCTCTATAATGTACTGAACCAACATAATTGTGTCCTATCATAATCTCTATCTCACAATAATAGCTAGAGAATAATATGGTTGTTATAGACAATACTTACACTGAAGTCACTGAATGAAGTACAATGTGTCTTAGGTTAATATCCTGGTGAGGTTATAGCATTGTGTACTTTCTTTCTCACTAATCCTTTTTGTATAAAAACAGGCATAGCTCAAATGTATTAAAGTTTAACTTGGACTTATATTCATTCTCTCTGATCTCTTGCTCTCTCTTTCTCCTTTTAGAGAGGAAAAATTGCTGGCAAAGTCTGATGCTCATCAGTCAAAGATGTGGAGAAATTTTGCTTCTCTGTAATCAACAAGTTTTAATTCACAGCACTGTTACACTCAGGGAGAAAACCTTACAGTAGTCTTCAGCTAGCAGACTGTAAGGGGGACTTCTGGCATAAAGCATCAGATCCCTCATTTTATTTTATGTTGAAAAATATGTAAATGAGGCATTTGTTGACTATAGGTATGATTTGGGAGACAAGTTTTTCCATAACTCTTCAAAACCTACTAGGCAGTCACTTGTCCAATCCATTTGGGCTTAGAGATAATTGCACATTTAAATACCAGTTATCACTGGAAAATGGACAGATATTCAGGGAAAGGCAGAGGTAGCATTTCTATTTAATGAGAAGACTTTGTAATAGAAAGAATACAGGTCGATTAATGGTAAGGGCAGATGTTTTGGCACTACTGATTTAATTTAAATTGAGAGATTTCATAATTCCTACTCTCCTTGTTCTGGCTCTATACATAATTCTAATAACTGGAGATATTTCCTGCTATTTCAAATTTAATATGTAATGACATATCAAGATAAAATATTAAGGAGTCAAATGAGGAATGATACCATTTAAAAGTTAATGTATTTAAGTAATAATGTATGCAGTATGTGAGAGTTAGCCAGTAAGAGGCTGGAGGTAATGGGCCAGGCAGTGTTTAAAAGAATACAGTTTTCATGTAATTTTTTCAGGTAAAGCAAGCCAGGCTAGTGGCGGGAAGCAGCCCGCATTCCTTTTACAACTCTTCATTAATTAAATCAAGTTCTCATACTCTTCATTCACACAGGAACAGGTAGCTGTCATTTTTAAGCCAGCAAATATTTTTATTTTCAGACTCACATTTGTTTTTACAGTATCAGTACTCTCATGAATATCATTGTGCTCCCCATTTTAAGAAAATCACAAATACTATGAAAGATAATGAATAAAGCCTGGAGATGAATAGGAAAGTAGGAGGTGCCCTTGAGCTAAAAGTAGACTGCCCAGCTAAAAGCTTACTGTGGCTCAGCAGGACCATATCCTGTACTGATGTCTGGGAGGTGGAACTTCTCTCCAATGACTGCTCTTATAATTCTTCGCATAATGGATTGCTCATGTCTGCATTGCTATTTCTCTATAGATTTTGTTCCTTTCTTTTCCATGTCCATTTCTTTTCTTTTCTTCTGGATCACGTGCTCATCACTGGGCTATCTTGCATGTGAACAAAGATTGGTACATAGGAGGTCATAAAAAATGGTAATAATGAAAATTAATTAGATTAAAATATAACTATAAAATATAAATGTAGGTTATAAAAATCTAATGTCTTACTTAAGTTGCCATACTTTATTCATTCTCTCTTCAAGATATACTTTTGTTTTGAAATAATTTTTGATTAATTTTCCAATTCACAAAACATCCCAAAGAATTTCTGTATTTCCTGTACTGTTTTTCCTAATGTTAACATCTTTGAAAGCCACAGTACAATGATCTGGACCAGAAACTATTATTATATGCTACTATTAACCAATCTAATTATCATATTAAAGTCACACCCATTGACTCTTTTATCAACCTAGAATTGAAACTAGAACCTTGTATTGTAGTTGTCTATAATGATTCTTCATTTTCTGACAGTATTTCAGCTGTCTTCATCTTTTGTTACTCAGTTGTTTAAATAACACTGGATAGGGTCAGGAAGATGGTTCACAGGTAGAGTGCTTGCTATCCAGTATCTTAGTTTGTATCTCCAGAGCCCATGTAAAAGCCAAATACAGAAAGACATTTCAGTAACTCAGTAATGGGGAGATGAAAGTAAACAGATTCTGTGGACTATCAAACTTACCAATCATTGAGCTCTATACCCAGTGAGAGAACATGTCTTAAAGAATAATGTAGAAGGAAATGGGAAAGGCACTTGCCATTGGCTTCTTGATTCCACAAGCACACAAATGGGTAAGCACACTACGTACCAGTGATCACATGTACACAATCATATATCTTCATGTACTTCTGTGCAACAAACAGAAATAAACTGGAGATATACATACATACGTGTATGTATATAGTGCACATATATGTATATATATATGTGCGTGTGTGTGTGTGTATGTATGCATGTATGTGTGTGTTAGACATTACCTTTCAACTAGGGTCTGTCTAATTTCTGTCAAGATTAGATTTAAATTAAGCATTTTGAAGTAAATAATAGAGACGTATTATTGGAGATTTTATTTTTTAGTATATTGTAATATTTAAAACAATTTTTAAATTTAAATATATTTTGACCAAATTCTTTCCCTCTTCCAAGTCGTTTCAGAACCTTTTCTCCTCCCTACCCACCCAACTATAAGGTTTTTCTCAAGAAACAAGCAAAAGCCCACAACAGCAACACTTTAAACTAAAAAGTGTTGGTTTAATAAAATGTTTATTGGACACTAACCATGGAAGAGACATAGTCATTATCCAGAAGCAGAGGAAGCGAGATGAGAATGGCTTACTGAGAAAGGGTAGCAAGCCACGTGGCTAAACATAAACAAAAATTATGAGCTAATTTATATTGTAAGAGGTGGTTAGTAATAAGCCTGAGCAATAGGCCAAATAGTTTATAATTAATGTAAGCCTCTGTGTGTTTATTTGGGACTGGGCGGCTGCAGGACTGAGTGGGACAGAAACTTCTGCCTACAAGCCATGGTTACATGATGAGACTCTATCTCAAAATACAACAAAATAGGCAAAATTTGTAAAACAAGACAGAACATTCTATACAGCGCTTGTAGTGTAGGTAGGTGTGGATCCCTTGTCTATTAAATACAAGGTCCTAGGTCAACTCTCAGCACTGTAAAATAACAGCCACTAATCACTTTCATTTAGTAGAGTAAAAATATTTCTCAAAGTTGGTCTTTTCCATAAATCCACAGAGTAAAATTAAAGCAGTTGTCACTGAATCTAAAGACAATGGAAATTATGGATAAGAAATCACATAGTAAAACCTGGTATATACCAATGACATAACATAAAATTATTGTCAACCCTTGCAAAGTCATAAAGTTGTACTTACTGTCCTCTTTCACAGAGAAGGAAATAGGTTAGATTACATAGGTTAATCATAAATACAATAATGAAATACAAAGCCCTGCTATTATTGTATCCATTATGTTAAATTTTATTTATATGTATAGAATTGGTATGTAGAAGCTGTAAGTAGAGGCTCAAAACATCGAGGGTTGTACATATAAATCCAGAACTAAGGCTCTTATTTTTTAAAATATGGCTCCTGTACAATTTAACTTCCTAGGGATAGAACCATGTGGAGAATATTAATATCAATGGTTGCTAACTTCATTAGAAGAGTGATTTTAATAGAGTTCTGAATACTAGTTCAAATCCCCTAGGCAGGGCAAAAGATGTAGGGGTCCCCAATGTAAATCCACAGACACTGATAGAGATGTTTAGAATGAAGCACGCCTGCCTACAGGTACTAAGGGAATATTCTCCATGCAGCATCTGACTGGCAAATGGCAGGAAATTTGGGCTCACTACTGTTTACACTTCTGGATTTTCTTTCTTTCTTTCTTTCTTTCTTTCTTTCTTTCTTTCTTTCTTTCTTTCTTTCTTTCTTTCTTTCTTTCCTTTCTTTCTCCGTCCACTATGACTTCTACAGTCTTTCTTCCCTCTCTTCAGTAGGCTTCCCTGAGCTCTGAGAAGAGAAGAGATGAAAATCTCCAATTTAGTTCTCTCTCTCTCTCTCTCTCTCTCTCTCTCTCTCTCTCTCTCTCTTGTTTGGCTATAGGTCTCTGCACCTGCTCCCAGAAGCCTCTCTGATGGTGACTGAAAAAGGCAATAATTTATGAGTATAGCCGAATATCATCAGAAATCTTCCATTTGATTTTTGATTTTTAGATGTTATTGTTACTCTTGTTTAATTACACCCTAGGGCTAACCAGTCTCCAATTCCAGGCTGTTTAGGCAAGTGTAGGGAATGGGCTTCCTCATCTGGAGCAGGCCTCAAGTTAAAACAGACTTTGGTTGACTGCTCCCATAAGTACTGTGCTACCATCGCCCCAGCGCATCTTGCAGGCAGGACAGATAGAAGGTCCAGGGTTTTGTGGCTGGGTTGGTAGCCTTCAGAGTACCTTCCTGAACCAAAGAGACTAGAATATAAGAGTGAAGGCCCCATACAGGCACCAGCTTGATGTACCTATGTTCAAAGAGCTGTCTGGATATTGTCCCCGGCAATGGGGCCCCTGTTGTCAGTCTTTGGAGAGGAATTCTGCTCTAGCATCAAGGAAATCATAAACTAGCATCTTTGCTAGAAAAATATTCATTTCTTTAAACATCATATATGTGAATAAAGTGTGGGTGTGGGCCACGTCTGATACTCCATTCTTGTCCACTGTGGATAATATGAAGAAGGTCTTATTCGGAATCGTTACCAACTCCCAGTAACCATGGTAAAGGTCATTAAAATCAGTTGTCAACCTTATATCAATTTAGTCTGATATCATCTCTTTTGAGCATAAATAAACTTGAGCTTGTTCCTTCACCGTGTGACAAACGCCAGTCAATATCTCTGGCGGTCAGCTGGATAATCACAGTATGCCCACAGTTAAGCTGCTCAGACTTAATTTCCATATCCATGGTCTTTCTCCTGGGTTTGCTGAACTTCCCACTGCCATTCACTCTGTCCAGTCACTTAAAACATCAGCCTTTATCCCTGTTTTCCATGCTAAGCTCCAACGTGCCTCCTTCAAGCATAAACACTTAAATACTCCAGCTAGCGAAAGTTGAAGAGTAATGGACATCCTTTGTTTTCAATAACTTTACATCATTTCTTGCTAAAACTTTTCCCTGATGGACTCCTGATTAGTTTTACTGCCCCAAGCTACTTCACTGGATCTTTCACATCTCTTTCATCTTTCTGTTCCTTATCACATTCTCCTCCTTCCTGTAAGAACCAAAAATGATTTTCCTACAGAACCCCTTCTCTTGACTGACTCTGCTTTTCGGTCCCTCCCATTGTGCTTATCAAAGGGTACTTTTAAATGAAGAGAATCATTTCCACAAGAGGAATCAGTGCCCAGGAGAAAATTCTTTCCTTTATCTCTGTTTACTTGTATGTTCGTTTTGAGACAGGGTCTAACTACCTGTCCTTGAACTCATTATGTAGACCAAGCTGACCTGCAACTCACAGAGATGTACCTGCTTCCTTCACTGTGTCCCAAGTGCAGAAACTGAAGGCATGCAGCACCAGGCCTGGCCAACCTTCCTTCCATTATCTTAAAAAGTTTATTCAGTCAGGTTTCTTTCAGAGTATGCTTTAAGATTACCTTATAAAGTATGCTTGATTTAAGATTACTTTATAAAGTATGCTTGCTCATATAATCCATTCAAAGGCAGAAGCTATGATTCTTAGACTCCCCTTCATGGTTTTCAGAGAAACATCTTTTATTTTGGTAAAAAAAAAAAACAAAAAAAAAAACCAAAAAACAGAAGATTCTCTAACATGCTAGAATTTGTGTGCATTTTCAACTGGCTTCTTCTAATGTTAAGATCTCACGTGATCATAGTGTATTTATCAAAATTAAAAATGCCTTTGGATTTTACTTATTTTTCCATTAATGCATTTATCTATCCCAGTACCAAATCCAGTACACCAATATGCTATTAGAAAATTATTTTCAAAGAAGTTGCTGATTCATAAAAGCTATTTCAGCATAAGGTTCTGAACCTGAAGTACATCATCATTTCTACTTTGTGACTTAAATGACTGCTACTGTCATTCATGAGGAAGTTTTACAGTAATAGGACATGTAGTAACTTTGAAATCTATGATCCCTCACTTCTTTCAGGTTCACAGACTCTCAGCAGGTAAGAATCAGTCTCTTTGTGCCTGTCTCTGTCTCTCTACCCCCCCAACATAACTGGTTACATCCTTACCTTCAGAAAGCTATATAGAGTGTATGACAGACAATTTGAATTATACATTACATCTTAGAGACAAATATTATATGAAAGCTCATCTTGGAAGGACATGCTATTTTTGTTATTTGTGATTTTTTTTAGATTTGGTTGATTGGTTTTGAGACAGGGTATCACCACAAAGCTCTAACACACCTGGAACTCACTATGTAAACCAGACTGGGCTTGAACTCACTGAAATCAACCTGCCTATTC